CACCACTAAGTACTATGTTTATTGTAGAGTTTTTGTTGTTTTGTTTTTCGAGGTTCTATTATTGGATTAAGGAAATTCTTTTGGACTTTTATTGTATTGCTCTGGTCTAGAATTTCCATTTTTGTTTTCCTTATAGTACTGGGGATTGAACCCTCGGTCATGCTGTTGCAAAGAACATCCTTAGCCCTCTTATTTTGAGATAGTCTTGCAACGTCACTTAATTACTCACGCTGAGGTCAAACTCTGAATTTTCTAAACTCAGCTTCCCAGAGTGTTTTTTCTTTTGATGTTTTTTAGTTCTTTACTAAATTTTCTATCTTATCTTTTATTTTTTAAAAAGCAGTAACAAAGTATATTTTTTAAAAAAAAGGTGGAGTGTCAGGGAGAAACTGGTGTTACAGAGTGAGCTTGGGTCAAGAAAACAGAAAATAGGGTAAGAACACTGAGTCTGGAAAAGTGTGGGCTATTGTGGAAAGTTAGTAGAGCCATCTTGCTTTTTAATTGCTTAAACATATCATCGTTTTAATGCTGGGATTTCCTAGGAGCGTATTTATATGGTGTTGTACTTCTATTGGTTTTTCATAATATGCCTATTTGTTTTGAGTGCCTATCACTGTACATAAAAATTAGAGAAATATTTTAAAGCAACAGATTGTTGTTCTTGTTTTCTTGTACTTTCCCTGTATGTCCAGGGGGAACTGCCACTTGGATTTATTGGGCTTTTTTTCCCTTCCCTTCCTATTATCTATCTTATTTTCTTCATACACTCTAAATAAATATCCAGCTTTTTCTCTTTTAAGTTTCGTATTATTAAACTTCACATTTTCAATCCCTGAATTTCTACAGTTTGATTTTGGATAATTACTCCATTTCTACTTTCCAATACACTAATTCTCCCTGTGTGTGATATGTTCTTATAGAAAGTAGCTTCAGAAAGTCTTACCTAATTTAATAAATAACATGAAGTTTATTGTTCCAATATATCATCTGAGGAGGTTATTTTGATAAATTTCCTATCACATAACATTTGTTAGAACTCTTTGGAAATTACATTCTACTCTATATACCTTTTTATTTTTTAGTACTAAATTACTCCCAATCTGGTCTCTATTAATTTTTTTTTTTTTTTAATGTATGTAGTACAGGGTCTACAGGGTCTCACTTATAGTGATTCTCCTGTTTTCAGTCTCCCAAGCACTGGGATTACAGGCACGTGGCACCATGGCACAGAATGAGCCCCTGGCCACTGTTTTCTGCCTAAGCAGGCGCTTTAGTCCGCTGAGCTATCAGGCCTGCCCTTGGTCTCTATTAAATTCTTAAATTTAATTTTACATTCTTTTTTCTGGGGATCAAACTTGGGACTTGTACTTGCCAGGGAAGCACTTATGCCACTGAGCTATAGCCCCATTCTAATTTTGCATTCTATGTCATTACTGATAAGTTCTGGCCCTAGTATGAATTGCTGAATTATTATGGTGGTCAGCTAATAGGGCTGAAGCCCTTAAAACTGCTTATCTTCCCAGAGACCACCTCCCCTTTCCTTCTTCAACCCAGCCCAAGGTACAATTTCCTTTCACCTTTCCCACCACCTCAGAAAAACAGCTCCTCAGATATTTCTAAACATCCTCCTCAAAATCCACCCCTAGAAAAAGTCCATAAAAGCCCCAGCTTTCTTTGTCTCAAGCCAGAGGATTTACCTGACCAATCTGCCCTTGATCCTCTCCACCTCTTCAGAGTTAATAAAGGCTTCTTTTATCTTTTCTAGCTGTTTACTGCGCCTCCGAAAAACCTATCAATTACTCTTTCACTATAGTGAGAAGCCCTTGTATGTGACAGGGTTTACCATGCATGGTAAGTTAATATAACTCATATATAACTTAAAGATATAAAAAAAATCTTCCTCAATACAGATACATCAGGGCTGGCAAGATAGCTCATCGGCCTAAAGCACCTGGTTAGGCAGACACAGGAACTGGGGTTTGATTATAGGTGTGCCATGCCAGCCCCACCCAAGGGATGCACTGAGATGATTATAGGTGTGCCATGCCAGCCCCGCCCAAGGGATGGCAACTGAGACTGGGCAGGGCGGCTTGCATGCTTGTAATCCTAGCACTTGGGAGGCTGAAAACAGGAGAATCACTACAAGTCAGATCTGTTTAGTTAGACCATGTAGACCCCCCCAAAAAATACAGATACATTAGGCAGGTCTATTTCCTCAACAAATGCTGAGCATGCTACTAGATAAAGTAACAATATTTATAAATTAAACTAAAAAACTATTTTCACCTTGACCAAGATTTAAAAAGTAGCAATATGCATAGATACTTTTATATATGTGTGATAGAAATGAGAATTGGTATGATCTTTACAGACAAATATTAACAACATGTATCAAAAATCATTAATTTTGGATCCTACGATATTAACTTGAAGATATAAATCTAAGACATTTGTTCACAGTGGTTTATACACTATTGTAGAAATCTATTAACATAAGTAGTTCACAGTACACTGCATGAAGAAAGGCTTCAAAATAGTATGATTACATGTTTATATTTAAATAAACATAAAAAGTTTTCCTTGGAATCCATTTATTCTTCAAGATTGTAAGTGATGTTTAGTTCATTTACTATCTAGGCTTACCACAATAACTATATACTGTGATTAAAAGTAACTGAATTATTTTAAGTATCAGAGTACCTAAATACCTTTAAAAAAAAGTCTTTGGTACCTGGAAGGGAGATGCAGGAGTAATGGAAGTTTAAGGTTAGCTAGGGCAAGTTAGTGAGATCTAGTCTTTTTTTTTTGTTTTTTTTTTATTTTTTTTAATTGTGTGTGTGTGTGTGTGTGTGTGTGTGTGGCCAGCTCAGCCCACCAGGGGGCGGGGCTGGCTGGCATGTGGTGCTGGGGGATTGAACCGCGGTCCCTTGTGCTTTGCTAAGCTTGTTCTAAGTAGGTGCTTTAGACCACTGAGCCATCTCCCCAGCCCCGAGATCTAGTCTTAAAACAAAGACTAGAAAGGGCAAAAAATACAGCTCATTGGTAAAGTGCCCCTAGGTTTTAAAAAAAAAAAAGTTTCTGGGAAAATACAATTCAAATTCAAACAGGGCTGGTGAGATGGCTCAGAGGTCTAAAGCACCTACTTAGAACAAGCTTAGCAAAGCACAGAGACCACGGTTCAATCCCCAGCACCACATGCCAGCCAGCCCCACCCCCTGGTGGGCTGAGCTGGCTACACACACACACACACACACACACACACACACATAAATAAAATAAAATAAACAAATTCAAACAATGAATTATGAATAATATACCCCCTCCCTCATGTTAATTGTCTGCCAATTTGAATTCAATCTTTCAATTCATCCTATCTCTACCTAAAATTGTACCTCTAAAGAGCAGAAACAGCTACTTCTTAAAACTACAAGTAGGAGGCTGGGAGAACAGAAACCAGAATATAGAGAGGAAAGGAAATGAGTTTTTATGAGAAACAGACTCTCAAGGGTTGTGGGGAGGAAAGTTCCATGAATAAGCTTCAGCAAAAGTTTCTCCTCTCATGGGTTTTCTTCTTACTCTGCTACAAGCTCTACCAAACTGCTCAAAAGAGAAAACTCCAGATTCTAGCATCAGATGTGATTAGAATGTTTTCCATCTTCTCTAACATGACATACTGCTTCTTTCCTACCAAAGGACTCGCCCCCCCTCCCCCCACCACCACCCTCCCTTCCTCCCTCAGGGATCAAATTCAGGACCTTGCACTTGTCAGCCAGGTTGTTTATGCCGCTGAGCTATATCTCCCACCCCTTAAAGGTCTTTTGATATACCAGTTTTCATCTAGAATATTTCTACTCCCCTTTCCAACCCTTGCTTGATTCATTTATATTCTATTAATTTAACTCTTTTGATCTTGATTCAAGTGTCCCTTTCCTAGGGAAACATCAAATACCTTAGTTCGCAACAGATTCTTTGAAGATTTTATCTCAACCTATGAATATATAGTACGCATTTAGTATACTTATCTAATACCTGGTCGGGCTCACACCCAATGAAAGCAGTGGCATTAGGTAGTTTTGCTCGACACTGTTAACCCAGCATTTGGAACATACATTCATTCCTGAATGAGGGAACGAACAAATGAATGAATGAATGAATAAAATATGCAAAGAACTAGCAACCCAGAGCACTGGGGTGGAATTATACTATCTATATCATTTTATAGTGGAAATATGTTCACATTTTTCTTCTAATCATTGTTGTATACTCAAGACAAAGTCTTAAATATATATAGTATATTATTTTTGGCCCAAAGTAAAACATGATGTCAAGAAGACATCTAGCCCTTAACAGAAGCACATAGTATAGTTTCAGAACCTTACAAACGATCCAAACGATGAAAGCTGTCTCTTTGCAGTGCAGTATACCTTTTTGAAGCAGTTATGCAAAACTGTCAACTTTAGGACAAATTACAAATTCAAGCATAAGGTACAGAGATTGTGCAGGTTCTCTACCTCTGACACAAGCTTAGGAGAAAAGTAAGCCTAGGATGGAAAGCAAAAGAACAGGCATTTAAAAGATATTTAACGAGGGGCTGGTGAGATGGCTCAGTAGTCTAAAGCACCTACTTGGAACAAGCTTGGCAAAGCACAGGGACCGCGGTTCAATCCCCCAGCACCACATGCCAGCCAGCCCCGCCCCCTGGTGGGCTGAGCTGGCCACACACACACAAATAAATAAAAATGTTAAAAAAAAAAAAAAGATATTTAACGAGCACCTGCCTAGTGCCAAAAAGCCCTCGTTTTGGGCTGGCTCTGACAGGTCTGTGTGGCTTTAGGTATTTTTTCCTTCACAGAGCCTCCAGAGTCCCGAAGGGAAGCAAAAATATGCCTGACTACCTCTAAGGTCAGGCTGAAAGCTCAACAGAGACAAGGTACTTCTTAAAGTACCTGCAGCCGACAGTGCCGCAGAGCAGAAACCCTCCCTCGAGGGGCCGCACTTACCCGTCGGGCGAATACTCCAGGTTGAAGACCGCACCGTGGGTGCGTGTGCTGAGGTACACTGAGTCGGCGGGGTGGATAGAACCATACAGGTTAGTCATGGTGCGGAAATGGTCCCGCGCCGGGTCCACGAACAGCCCGCGGCCCAGGCTGCGTTCTCTCAGCCACCCGAATAGTCTAGCGCCGGGGCTGCCCAGGCCCGCGCTGAGGCCGTGCCTGCCCCGGCTCCCAGCCCTGCAGTCTGGCCCGGGCGGCTGGCGCGGCGGGGACGACTCTCTCTGGGCAGTGGCAGCCCACAGCTCCGGCTTTCCCAGGGACTCAGGCTCTCCAGCGCGCGCTGCGGAGGACAGCGCGGGGGAGCCGGGTTGGCGAGGGCTCCCGGTGGCGGGCGGACGAAGGGCGGCGTCAGCCCCGGGCTGTGGAGGTGCGGGCGGGGTAACAGGAGAGGGCGGTGCGGCGGCAGCTGCGGCCTGACCCCCGAGGGGCGCCGGCTCCTCAGCTCCGGCTGCTTCATCCCCGCAAGGACTACAGGGACTGAAGGGAAACATGGCCAACGCCCCCACGCCCAGCTCTGGGCCGCTGTCCTGCCGGCCGACACCTCAGCCCTCCCGCTCCAGGGCCACTTCCGGGTGCGGCGGCCTAAACCCACCGGATGGGAAACCAGCGCCCCCGCTCGGCTGCCCTCCGCTGGGGACCAGGAAAGTCGGGACACGCAGTCCAAGCAAGAGGTCTGAGGTCGGAGCGAAAATGTGTATGAGCTGCTGAGGATGCCGGAGTGGGCATTGCGTCCGGCTGACAGGCGGTCTACAGCTATCAATGAGTGGTGACTCTCTCCCTGGCTAGTCCTAACTGACGGGTTTTCTCCGCCTCAATAAAAATTCTGCTGTTACAGGCCGCGCGCCCCGCTCCGCCTTCCTCCTTTCGGGTCAAATTACAACTTCCTACTTCCTTTTTGCAACATCCTGTTTCCTTGTTCCCGCCTCCTGCCCAATCACTATCTGCTGCGTCACGCAGACCTCCCCGAAACCCCACCCCCATCCTGGCCCACTATCGCTTTTGTTTCTACTTGTCAGACCCTCCTTTCCTTTTCTGTGGTCTTCTCCATGCCCGCAATAAAGGCATTTTTACTTTGTTCCGTCTGTTTTTGCGCCAAAAAAACTAACGTTTTGGTGCCATGACTTGAACAGTGCAAGCCGTGTGACCCCACAAAGGCGAAATTATTCTCCCCTTGGTTCAGCCCTACCGGCCAACGGGCCACTTTCCCTCTTCTTCTTTGGCCTGACATTGGCTCTTGAAACCTTATACCCAGATCCATTTCTCAGAGGTGAACTTCCTTCTGTTCGGAGTCTGTTCCTGACTCATTTTCCAAAACCGTGGGCACAGATTAGGACACTCAACGTTCTTTGGGATGCCTTTCTGCCGTCTCGGTGACAGCTGGGAGGGCAGATTCGGGCATTTTCTCCTTTCTGGCACCCCGACAAGGGTGACAAACCTCTCAAGGGTTTTGAGATCTGGCAGTAAGTCTTTGGCGCACCTTTAATTCAGTCACAAATTTTGGCTCGCCTTTAATTCGGCTACAAAAATGGTAAATACTAACTTCCATGCCCCGCTTGGCTCTTGGCCAATATAAATGCCTTGTGACTCAGAGACAGCATGAAACCAAAACGGTGTCTTTTATTGCCAAAAAATGATGCCAGCCAATGGCTTGAAGAGGGCACTTTTGACATTAATATCCTCAGAGATCTAGACAACTTTTGTTACTACAACAGCAAGTCGAAGGAAACTCCTTATGTGCAGGCTTTTACTGCTCTCAGGGCAAGCATGTAGGGACATTGCCAAACCCTGGCCTGAATCCCCATGCTCATCCTCTCCATGATGTTTGCCCTGCTTTTGTACCTCCTCCACTTTACCCTTAGGCTTCCCAGCCTGATATTCAACCCTTACTGGATACCCAACCACCTCAATACTCTCAGTCTAAAGACCGACCCCCAGCTCAGCCTTCCCAGTCCACTAGACAGTCTCCCTTTGTATGTCCTTCTTTACCTATTCCTCCACCCCCTCACTCTCCCCAGCCTGCCCTTGAGTAGCTCCTACTTTCTCCCCCACCTCAGCCCCAAACCCTGTCCCACAGCTCTCACTCCCTCCATCTTTTAACTGGCTTCCATCTTCTCACCTTATTTACCCACTCCAGGTCACCCACCCTCTGCCATCTTGTCCAAGCCACTCCCACTCTCTACTATCTTGCTCTGACTCCTCCTACCCTCCAACATCGTGTCATAATTCAAGAGGAATTGTGGAAAGCAGCTCAAAAGGAGGCTGACAATAGACATCCGGCTAATCGAGACCAACCCCTTGGAGCTGCCACAGTGCCATTAACAGATCCTAATTGGAATTATCAAGGGCTAAGTGGCTCACAACATATCAATACTATGATTAATTGTATAATAGCAGATCTCCATAAGATTTCTCACAAGCCTGTTAATGTTAACAAGCTCATTGAACAAACAGTGAGCTGATGAAAACCCTGTTGAGTTTTTTACTTGCTTCACTGAACCATTAATATATCAATGTTGACCCACAATCAACAGAATAGTATTTGTTAACTCTCAGTTTATCTCTCAGTCAGCCCCTGATATTCCGGCTAAATTTTAAGTCTGAGCTTGGCCCTCAGCCACCACAAAGAGAGCTCCTCGTGGTGGCCTTTTGTGTCTTCATTAATAGAGAACATCAACAAAAATTAGATAGCAAAGCTAGCAAACTGTCAGTTGCTAAAGCAGCCACCCAATATCAGTTTATGAATTTCTGGCAGCAGCACTCCAGATTCCTACAGTAGATAAGCCTAAATAGGCAAATATCAAGGTAGTATCACTAACAAGTCCTGATACCCTCCTGGGCCAAGGTTCAAGTGCAGCAATGAAGGACACTGGGCAAGATCTTGCCTCAGGGGGCTGGTGAGATGGCTCAGTGGTCTAAAGCACCTACTTAGAACAAGCTTAGTGAAGCCCGAAGCCCAGGGACCACTGTTCAATCCCCCAGCACCACATGCCAGCCAGCCCGCCCCCTGGTGGGCTGAGCTGCACACACACACACACACACACACACACACACACAAAATAAATAAATTAATAAAATTTAAAAAAAGAGAGATCTTGCCTCAATTTGTTGCTACTGTCCCATCTACAATCTCGAGGGCCATTGGAAGTGTGACTGCCCTGCCCACCACAGGATAATCTGCTGCCACCAGACTCATGGCTCAGTGATTAGTTGGGCATCACAGCTGAAGAGGATTGATGGGGCTCTGGATCCATGGTGCCCTGCTAAGAGCTCCTACTCAGAGCCCTGAGTCTTACTGGAAGTCTCAGGTAACACTCCCTTTTCTTGTTGATGTGAGGGCCACATACAGTGTTCTTCCTGAGTTTTGGGGCCATTGTACCCAGTCCTTTGCCTCTATTGTGGAGATTGATGGCTGACATACAAAGCCATTTCAGACAGGGCCTATTCCTTGCTGGCTTCAGACACTGTTTTACTCACAACTTTCTTGTTCCAAATTGCCCTATACTTCTCATGGGTAGGTCCTATCTCTAAAAGCTCAAGTTTTCTTTCACCTTCTTCCCACCTACAGCTCTCATCTTTCAACCTAAATCACTATGTGTGCCATTAATCCTAACCCTCCCCTTCCCCCTTCACTTTGATCCCAAAGTTTGGGTCACTTCCAGTCCTTCCCATGCCACACATGCTGTTCCTGTCTGTGTCCACCTTAGAGACCCATAAACATTTACCTGTATTCCTGTCTCAGTTACTTTTTACTTGTTTCCAGGACAAATACCCAACACCCAAAATTAAGAAGAAAAAGTTTATTTAGCTCACAGATAGTGGAGGTTTCCATCCATACTTCAGTCCATACTCGGCTGGCTCCAAGGCAGAGTAGCACAAGACAGAAGGCGGAAGGCAGAAAGTGGCAAAGGAAGGCAGAAAATAGCAAGGAAGGAGCAGCAGGAAGACTGGAGCACCTCTATGGAAGGGGCAGCAGCTGTAATCACCCTTTATTGAGGAAGAGGTGTGTTGAATCCTTCCTCAACCTCTTTATATACCCTTTTTGTACTGAGTCACTCTAGGGCAGGCCCTCCATACCCCAGGACATGGAGTCGCTGAACCATCCAGCCAAGCTTCTGACCTCTCAAGCTGACAAAATGCATTTAACCACCACAGTTCCCATACCCAATAGCCCCAAGGCATCAACAGGGACTCAAAACCATAATTTAGCATCTCTTTGCCAATGGCTTAAAGCTACTCACTCACCTTGCAATACTCTTATCCTCCCATTAATCAAACTCAGTGACTTCTGTCATTTAGTTTAACACCTCAGTGTTATAAATAATGCAGTTATATCTGTTCACCCCATGGTGCCAAATCCTTACACTATGCTTTTTCATATTCCCCCATCTACAGCCCACTTTACAGTCCTGGACCTCAAAGATGCCTTCTTCACTATTCCCCTGCATCCAGATTGCCAAAATCTCTTTGGTTTTACATGGACAGACCCAGATACTCTCCAATCCTTACAACTTACATGGACAGTACTGCCCAGTGGTTCAGGGATAGTCATTTTTTTTTTTAAGAGCAGAATATTTATTGGGGAAAGAAAGCTTCTGTTCAAGAGAGGGATGGGGGGGGGAGGCAAGCTGGTTGTCCCCAGGAAGTCCTCATTTCTTTAGTAAGCTCTAACTACTGACCTACAATTCCTTAACCTCAAATGCAGCACTCTGCTTTAGTACATAGATTACCACCTCCTCTGCTCCCCCTCCCATACCCTGACATTACAACACACTGCCACTCTCCTTAACTTTCTGTCAAAACATGGAAAATAGGTCTTTCCAGACAAAAATCAGATAGCTACAGCAAAGGTTACATATTTGGGACTCTCACTCCCACCACTTGCTTAATCAATACTGGCCACAAAGCTCTCCTCTGTGATCTTTCAGTCCCAACTACAAAACAACAGATCCTCTCCTTCCTTGGCTTAGCTAACATTTTCTATCTCTAGATTCCAAACCTTGCCTCCCTCACTTAGCCTCTCTATAAGGCATCCAAGGGTTCCTTGTCAGAACCTCTTGTACAGCAATTAACCACTAAGAAGAATATATACAGTGTATTATTTGTTGAAACTGTACTTTCGATTTGATTTGAAACTGTCTCATTGCTATATGTTTATCAATAAAACTTTGGAAAGAAAAAAAAAAAAGAACCTCTTGATCCCACCACACCTATATAAACCTCCTTGCACAAACTATCAGAGGCTTTTTTGAGAGCCCCAGCTCTCACTCTAGCTATCCCAACCCAACCTTTTATTCTCACCCCTTTTATTTATATATCTCTGCTCAGGGTCACAATGCTGTGGGAGTCTTAGGACATAAAAAGGAATCCTCATTTGAAGCAAGAGTGTGTTTTTTCAAAACAGCTAAACAACACAGCATGTGGATAGGCTCCCTGACTTTGGGTCCTTGATGCAACAGCCACATTAACAAAGGAGGCAAAAAGTTCACCTTAGGACAATCCATTAGAGTATATTCTTCCCACCACCTAAACAATCTT